GATTCTGAAGTTCCATGTGACATACTTTGGGCATGTTGTAAGGAGGGACCAGTCTTTGGAAAGGGACATCATACTTGGGATGGTGCAAGAGAGGAAGACCCTCGATGAGGTGGATTGACTCAGTGACTGGGGCTAGGTGTGTCAGAGACGATGGAATTGGGTCAGGATAGAGCAGGGTTCAGAGCTGTTGTACATAGGGTCTCTATGAGTCAGAGTCAACTCAACGGCACGCGACTACAACAACAACAACGTTCTGTTAAACCCCCATTAATTTGTGAGACTAGAATGTTGTATTCATGAAACCAGATGAACTACTGGGCCCCTGTCGGTTGTTACAGACTAAGCTTTCTCAAACAATATTTTTCTGGGGTTATTTTAACAATTCTAAAATAATCTGAGGTGTCTACCTAGGTGGACACGATTATGGATTGTTTGTGAATCCATAATGCTGAATTCTGGTCCAAGAAAATGACTTCATGACTGAATCGGAATACGATCCATGTATGAGACCTTTGCAAAAATCGAGGGCAAAAACATTTCTAGCAAAGGAAGTGTGAGGCCAGGGATAAGAAAATTCATATTCACGTATTAAGCCAACTACCAAACATACTTTGCAAATCTGGGGCACTCTGGATTTAGAGTAGGATTTACCATCATTCTGTCCCAAGTGACACAGACAGTGTAACAAATGAAAAATCCTTTCCTGGAGCCAAGAGACAGAGCTCTGCTCACTCGGGTGGTGTGGGCTGCTCCAAGGGGACTTTAATTTAAGGATGAAAATTCTATTTATTCAGGGGCCCAAACCACTATTTTTTTTCTGCTTTTGTTCATTTTAAACAGAACACCTTGTGCAAATCTGTGCAAGTCTTTGCACAGAGAAGGCCCACAGAATGTGAAGGAACGTGGACTTAGGGTGGAAGTCGGCACTAACAGCATGTATGACGGAGCTCTGGTGGCCTTGTGGTAAGGAGCTCCGCTGCAATCCCTAAGACATGTGGTTCAAATCCACCAGCTGCTCCATGGGAGAAAGATGGGCAATCTTCTCTTGTGTGTTTCCCACAAGGCAAAGGAGGCCCCCATCTGTAGAAGTCCCAGGCCTGAAATGTACGTTGTGCTGAGATTAAAAAAACATAGTCTTCCTTTTGACAATTAAAACTCTTTATAGTGTTGTGTTTGGTTTCTCCTCTGCCCTCTAAGTGCTGTGAAGAACAAGGCCATGGTGCTGAGAAGGAAAAGAGGAAGAGACGATCACTGTGGTAAATCAAACATAATTTCAATCATAATCAACAAAAGTTTACTGTAACAGGCACTGGTCACAGCCAGGACGTGGAATTTTTTGTTGTTATGTGCCATCATTCAACTACAGCTCACAGAGACCCTATACACAATAGTTCTGAAGTCTGCCGTATCCTAAGCCAGTCTCACTGCCTCCGACAAACTTACCCTCATTGCCCCAGTTACTGTATCAATCCATCTCTTCCGGGGTCTTCCTTTCTTGCGCTGTCCCTCCACCCTTCCAAGCGCGATGTCCTTCTCCAAGGACTAGTCTCTTCCAGTCACATGTTCAAACTATGAGAGGGGGAGCTTCAAAATCCTTCTTTGCCTCCAAAGAGCAGCTTGGTTTCACCCTCTCTAGGACAGACCTGTTTGCTCTCATCATGGTCCACGGTATCCTCATTATTCTTCTCCAGCACCAAAACTCAAAGAGATAAATTCTTCTTCTATCACCCTTATTCATTGTCCAGTTCTCTGGTAAATAGCAGGTAATTGTGAAGACCATGGCCTGATCAGGCACACCTTAGTCTTTAGACTGACATCAAGGCTCTTCAGCACTCTGGAGAGGTCGCTGACAGCAGATTTTCCTAAGATGCCTTTTGCTTTCCTGACTGCTGGTGAGAAGAGTATTGATTGTGGAACCAAGAAAGCAGATATCGTTAACAATCTCAATCTCTTCTCCATCTATCATGGTGCTTCCAATTGGCCCTGTGGTGAGAATCTCCATCTTTTTGATGTTGAACTTCAAGCCATATTGAAGACTGTAGGTTTTGACCTTCTGTAGAAAATGCTTCAGGTCCCCCTCAGTTTGGGCAAGCAAGGTTGTGTCATTTGCATAATGCCATCTTATAGATGAGTCTTTATCCAATCCTGATGCCACATTCTTTCTCACAGAGTCCAGCCTCGTGAACAATCTGTTCCACAGATAGGCTGAAAAGGTATGGAGACAGGATGCATCTCTGATGTACTCCTTTCTTTGATTTTGCACCATGCAGTGTTCCCTTGCTCTGTTCTGATGACTACCTCCTGGTCCAAGCATAGGTTTCACATGAGTACAACCAGGTTTTCTGGGATTCCCATTCTTCTCAGAGTCAGCCACAGTTTGTTGTGATCCACACAGTCAAACACCTTTGCATAGTCAATGAAACACAGACATTCCTCTGGTACTCTCTAAAAGTGGGAACAGGGAGGAAGGATCAGCAGGTGGAAAATATGGGCTCGGTGACAGAAATGAGTCTCTTAAGAATACTATTAAAATGCAGGTTCTGAGTCTGTAGGTCTGTGGTGGGACCTTAGATTCAACATTCTTTTTCTTTATGTGGGTATAGATGTTCACTGCCAAGCCAAAGGCAGGTAGTTTGAACCTACCAGATGTTCTGTGGGAAAAAGATCTGTGTGATTTACGGCCTCTGAAAACCTGTTGGAGAGTCAGCTATGAGTTGGTTCCAATATTATAGCACATAATGACGACAAATGAATATATAAAACAAATTGGTTTTCCAGTCGACTGTTCATCCATGCTTTGTTTTAAGGACATTAATAAAAATACCTTCATTGTAACCACATTCCACCCACTTCCTCCCCGTGATTCCCATTTCCACTAATCCTTCCGGTCTATCCCTTCCTGTCTTCTAAGTGCCATCTCTGAAATTCTGCATTTCTAACAAGCTCCTGTGTGATACTAACACTACCAGCCAGTGATCACGGTCTGACTAGACATTTCTAGATGGTGAAGATTCCTCAGCAAACAAAGCAAAGATAATCTGTCCTGGGGAAGCTTCTGTTAGGATGAGAAGTGTACTGGATGCAAAGCAGAGGACACAGCTGGAGTCAGAGCAGCTCAGGGGCTGGTAAATGAGAGCTGGGAGAGAATGCCAAGGGTGTCTAATTGGGATGGGGAGTCCCTGGGTGGCACACCCTGTTAAGTGCTAGGCGACAATCCAAAAGGTTAATGGTTTACGCTCCTCCAGATGTGTCTTGGAAGGAAGGTATAGTGACTGATTGCATTCTGCAAGGTCGAGGTCATAGTCATGTGACCTCCGCAGAGTGCAATTCCACTCTGCAATACGTGTGGCATCACCACGAGCTGGGACAGACTCCATGGCAACTGGCTTCGTCAGCAGGGAAACTGAGGTTTACAGGAGGAAAGTCTGTTAATGAGAATCACACAGCCAGTGTGACAGCCTTTGTACAAGCTGATGCCTCCTCTCCCGAATTTTCAGGATGAGATCTCTGGAGGACAAAGGTCAATCAGGGTGAGTAGGTGTCCCACCCACAGACAGGATGGTTCCATCTCTAAGACAGGACACTTCAATTTCCCAATTCACTCATCTCTTACACATACAAACGTCCATGCAGATACTAGGTTGGGTTTTGTGTTTTTTTGTTTTGTTTTGCTTTGCTTTTGCTGAGAGGTGGGGGTGGGAGTGGTGGGGATAATTAGATTCTTTCTGGGTATGCCTTTGTTTTTTCTCCCTAAATCAGTGGGGTAACACATTGAAGTCAATTCTGGTCAGGACATGAAGAGAGAAAATGCAAATAGAAAGAGCCTAATCAAACTGTTTCTTAACCTCAGAGTGGTGTGAGACGGCTACGCATACAAGGCTTGTATGCAGCCTTTTCCGTCTTCCAGGACCCACCAGAACGGAGCTCACCCCCAGCACTTCAAATCAGAAGACTGTGTCGTGTTGAGAAGTAATTGGTTCCTTCACAGTCAGGACCCCAGATCATCAACTTTTACATTCATGTCAGTTCGATTGGAACAGCAGCGAATTTCCTGGGCTAGCTAAAAAGAGGGGTAACAGCTGGTATAACGGGCATTAATAATATAACAAAAGAAGGGGGGGGAGAAACTTTTCATTAGTACTTTTTGATGCCAATTTATTATTTAGCGCTTTGCCAATACTCAAAGAGGCAGGCAGTCATAAAACATTCAGAAGGACACGCTGGAACAGCCGATGCGTATGTTTTACCTCCGTTCCTTTAAGAAAGCCGGAAATCAGACGCCCTGGTGTTTATAGGACAGCAGTGTGAAAAATAGCTATTGGGCCAAAAAACTACTGTTGGAGGAGAACGCCTTAAAATTTATTTAGTTTTTAATTTTAACAATGGCCAGTAGGGAGGTGGACGGCGGATCCATAAAGTCCGATTCAGTATAAAAGTGAGTGAAGAACTGCTTGCAGATTTTTTACTCTGTTAGTATTAATTCTGCTTGTAACACAGGAGGTGACAAAGTCCACAGCTGAGTAAAGCCACCTGTCACATCTTTGCATTTAAGACCAGCACAGCAGATGCTGAAGAACCCCCCCCCTTCCCCCCGGGCAGGTAGTTTTGACAGGACCCTCGGGGACCTGGGATTATGTGTGCTGGAGTTACGTCCGGTGGATTCTCCTGAAGATCATCTACTAAATCACTGGATGAAATAAAAGTGGCTCTCCATGTGGAAGTTTCCAGAGACTGCCAGATCCTACTGATTACCTACTGCCACCTTCTACTCTGAGAAATGCCTTGTCCTTGAAAGGCAGGCACAGAGATCCCAGAAGAAGGAACTGTTCCTGGTGCAGAAAAGGCAGAAGTAAATAACTATGGAAAAAAAACAAACAAAAACCAACCCCAACCCCAAAAGGAACGTTAAAACCAGAGCTCTGTCCAGGAGCGGCTGTGTTGGGTGGGCTCGTCTGGCTTGGGGTGTCACTCAGCCCGTCTCTCTCCAGGTTTCCCTGGCGTCAGGGACTGCTGCCCTTCGTGTAGAGCTTGTGGTCCTTGATGTAGGCGATGACAGCGTCCGGGAGCAGGTACTTCACGCTCTGGCCCTGGCCCAAGGCCCGCCTGATGTACGTGGCACTGATCTCGTTCTGCACGGGCTCCCTGGCCAGGTGGATGTTGTGCTGGTATCTCTGGAGGATGGGCGATTCCGAGATGTACCTTTTATGGTCGTGGCCCGCCCGGCTCACGCACACCAAGCCAAACTTCTCCACGATCTCCTGGATGTGCGCGTCTTGCCAGAGGTCCGGGGTCTGGAAGGTCTTCAGGACGTCGGCCCCGCAGAGGAGCTTCAGCTCTGGCAGGGCTGGGAAGACAAGAGTGGACCCGGGCAAAGTCACCATGGGCTCACTGCCAGCGCAGGGGACAACATGCTTTGTCTGAAATGTTCATGACATGATTTGTCTTAGAATGTTTCAGACACAAATGTCTCAAGAGTTCATGATTTTACAAAAAAAAATCTCAATGAACCTGAAACCACTTCAATAAGCTAGCTGCCAAGGTTCTATCTTAGGGCAACCCCCTGTATGCCGTAAAACTGTACTCCACTGGGTTTTCATGGTTATTTTTTTAATTTTTCTCAGCAGATCACCAGGCCTTTCTTCCAAGGCACAACTGAGGAGACTAGAACCCCCAACCTTGTGGTTATCAGTCAGCTGTTTATTTGTTAATTGTTTACAGCACTCAGTATTATACTTTAATCTATTTTTTTAAAGTGTCTGTAAAGTGTTAAGTAATATTTTTTTTCCTCTTATAACGGAAATCTGTGGTTGCAGGACCTCATGAAGTAGTGGTCCAAAGTAGCTGGACTATACCAGGAACCCCATCCTCCAACAGAAAGTGGAGTTTGTGAAGCCCTCAGTATGAACGAGAGGTGGGCCTCGCTCAGGTAACTCACAATCTCACTTAAAACCCATCTCAGAAACTCATTTCCTAACACTCTCAAGGTCAAGCCTGAAGTAAAGTTTCGCATGGTAAGGCCAATTAGAAAGTATGCCTGTGTAACAGAAAGATCCCCAAGCCCACAGCTCGTGGCCTTCGCATTTTGTTTTCCAACCAAACAAGATTCTAGAATAACTAATCGTTGTGGCTAATCCTTTGGAATTTGTTCTAACAAGATTGCGATGATAAAATAATGCCTCACATTCATTAGGTACTTACTTCTGGGCAATAATAGTAAGTGCTCTATGTGGATGATCTAATTTGAGTCTCACAACATTATGGGGAAGGTGTTATTGCTGCACCTATCCTGCAGAAGAGGAAACTGGGGCACTGAGAGAGGCAAGTATCTTGCCTGAGGTCCACAGCTACACACAGGAGTTCATATTCAAACCCCAGAGGCCCAGCTTAGAAAGCAAGGATCTTAATAATACTTACCTCATAGGAACATCTTAGAGTTCATTAAGTTCATAAATACAAAGTCCTTAGAGCTGCACCCGTAACAGGGCTAAGGAGGATATGTATTAGCTACCATTTATTCACCCAGACATCTACCTAGTTATCCATCAGGCCATTTATTTATCTGAGCATCCATTCCATATTTATGAGGTATTTCCTAAGTGCCTAGACTATTAAAAGCAATAAAACTGCATTTAAAAATTTAATAACTCACGCTGTCATTAAGGTGGACTGATACTGCTACTCACAGTGCATATGCAGATTGGAGCTGTCCTGTATTGGTGAGGTTTTACTCACAGAATTTTTTATTAATTTATTCAACCACGACAGTTAAGCGAGAGGCCAGCATTTGACCTCTTTCACAGCTGGGTGGCTTCTGTGTCACCTTCCTATCTGGGAGCTCTGGTGGTGGGTAGTACATGGTGACTTGCACTTCTCAAACAAAGGCTGGACCTCTCTAGTGGGTCAAAGGCACCAGGGGCTCTGGGGGAAAAATATGAGTAATCTCCGTTTGTGCTATTTACAGCTCTGGAAATCCGCTGGAGGGTTTTGAGTTGGTTGTGAGTCAATGACAATGAGTTTTTCCAGTTTTCTGAGAGGTTAAAGGATGTACATGGATTCTAGAGTCTCTTGTGGCTGTGGGTAAACCCCTTCTGGTCCCTGAGGCTGAGAACAGAAAAAGACAACCTCTTCTACAAAACTTCTGTGTGCTAAGTTCCCAGCAAATGGTGCCCCTGTGAGGTACTCTTTGATTCCTTCACCATGCTAGGAAATCAAGGAACCTTGGTATGCAGGGCTTAAACGTGCTCAGCTATCAACTGATCATAGTATGAGAGGTCAGTGGTTCAAATCCAACAGCTGCTCTGTGGGAGAAAGATGTGATAACTGATTTGTTGTTGTTGTTATGTGCCGTCGAGTCGTTTGCGACTCATAGTGACCCTATGTACAACAGCCCTAAACCGTGCTCTATCCTGTGCCAATCTCATTGCCTCTGACAAACCCATCCCGAGTACCCCAGTCACTGAATCAAACCACCTCATAGAGGGTCTTCCCCTCCTGCGCTGTCCCTCTACTCTACCCCGCATGATGTCCCTCTCCAAAGACCTGTCTCTCCTTACAACATGTCCAAAGTATGTCAGACGAAGCCCCAGAATCCTTGCCTCCAAGGAGCAGCCTGGTTTAATCCTCTCTACGATGAATCTGTTTGTTTTCTTGGCAGTCCATGGTAGAGTCAATACTCTTCTCCAGCACCACAGCTCAAAGGCGTCAATTCTCCTTCTGTCCTCCCTAGTCATTGTCCAACTCTCTGATGCATAACAAGTGATTGCAAAAACCATGGCCTGTATCAGGCGCACCTTAGTCTCCAGAGAGACACCGTTGCTCTTGAGTACTTTAGAGAGGTCATTAACAGCAGACTTTCCCATCACAACACGTTTTTTTATTTCCTGACTGCTGGTGCCAAGAGTGTTGACCATGGAGACGAGCAAATGGAAGCTGTGAACAATCTCAATCTCTTCGCCATCCATCCTGATGCTACCGATTGGTCCAGTGGTGAGAATTTTTGTCTTCTTTGCTTCTATAAATATTTACAGCCTTGGAAACTCTATGGGAAGATTCTACACTGTCCTACAGGATTGCCCTGAGGCACTGCGAGTCAGACTACTACTCACTCTGGAAGCTTGCTCGCAAGATGTCACATACTGCCTTCTTTCTCCAACAAGTCATCAAAGATTTGTCTCCGGCTGGTGGTTCCTACTGCTCTGTGGTAACACTGTAGAATGGCTCACTTCGGTGTGTGCCTTAGATACAACCTCTAGACAGTTCCACTGCCCAGGCTCTCAAACGCAGGGTTTCTTCCAAGCCAAAGTCTATAAGATTTTTAGAATGTGTTAAAATACTAAGTCAGAGGTGTTGCATTTGCCACCCTTTGTCATCAAGGTAATTCTCACCTTAGTGAGCCCAGAGGACAGAGTCAAACTGCCTCATAGAATATCCAGTGCTGCAATCTTTATTATTAAGTCGAATATGACTCACAGCAACCCAGTGAACAAGATCTGAACTTAGCCCTAATCTGCGTCATCTTCACTGGTGCAGACTGAGGGTAAAGTATATTAATAAGTATTAATAATGAGGCAGAACACAAAGAATATAAGTAATCAGAGGTAAAGCAGGAGGCGAACAGTTCTCTGCCAACTGAAGCAAACTGATCTCTGCTTCCCAGTGTCTTTACTGAAAATTGCCAGGAAGCAAATCACAAAGAGAATTCAATGCAAACGACACTAAGCTTTTTCTATTGAAAACCTTATGCTTGACTCAGGAGGGAGGGGTTAGCAAGTACAAAACAAGAATCCTGTAAACGCTTAAGGATTGCCTTGAAGGATTAAAATGAAAATGGTCCCTATAGTTCTCAGCTGAATTAAACTCAGGTTTCTATAGTTCTCAGCTAAGTTAAACTCAGGAATTTTTTTCCATTGTCCCGGGTAGAGCCCTACACCCAGTGTTCCAGGAAGAAAAGTCTGATCCCAGGGCAACGGTATTTTGAGAATGGCTAACTACAGGGTAGGGCAAACAAGCAGATGTTTCTCGACTGATAACCTATGTGCCTTTGTTTCCCGACTGATAACCCATGTGTCTTGTGCTTTTCCACTGCCCTGGGGTTTGAACTCATTGTATGCTTAAGAATTTGTGAAACCACCCTATAGTTAATATTCCAGGAAATAGCTAACCACAAAAGTTGGGCAAATATACTGATGACTTAAGATCTGTCTAACTGCCATATGTGCTACGTGCAAATATGCTGTGTAAACCATGGGCGAAAACCGAACCAATGAATTCAAACTGTGCTTTTATCACCCAATGAGAAGCTGACACTCTGTTGTATCCCCCTAAAGTGTATAAAAAGAGCCAAAATTGTCTGCTCGAGGTCGACTCCTCTATCTCGTGCGAGAGATACGTGTCGGCCCGGAGCTCCGCAATAAACCTCTCCTCTTGCTGTTGCATCAATAGCCGGTGTCTTGGAGTCTTGGGTCTTCGCCGTCCGCTCGGGACAGTGTAGGGCCACCGGTCCGGGGGTCCATCAGCCTCAGTGACTACCCCTGTAAACATTTAAGGATCGCCTAAGTGCTTCAGGGTGAATTCCAGCTTGTATCTGCCTCCCTCATATCCTGATACAGCATTTGTTTTATTATAAATATTTAGAATGAAATTTGGCTTCCCACACTTCATCATCTCTGACACATTTGAGTCCACTGCTGCAGACCCTGTGTCAATCTATCTCACTGAGTCTTCCTCTCCTTTGCTAATCTTCCACCTTCCCAAATATGATGTCCTTTTCAAAAAAAATAGCCTGTCTTAGCAATATGCCCAAAATACGAGAGGCAAAACTTCATCAACTTTGCCAGCAAGGAATATTCTGGATGCACTTTCTCCCACACTATGTTTGCTCATCTGGCAGTCCGTGGGATAATCATCACTCTTCTCTGATGCCACAATTCAAATGCATTGATTCTTCTGTCGTCCTTATTCACTGTCCAACTCTCAGATGCATACATAGCAGGTGACTGGAAAGACTGTGGCTTGAATCAGGCACACCTTAGTCTTTACACTGATATCATTATCCTTTAGGACTTTGGGAAGATTCCCAACAACATATTTTCCCAATGTTACCCAGGCCCTTATCTCCTGACTGTTGGTACCAACTGTGTTGACTGTGGATTCAAGCAAGAGGAAATCGTGGACAATCTCAATCTTTTATCCATCTATCAGGATGTTGCCTATTGGTTCAGTAGTGAGGATTTTGTTTTCTTGATACTGAGGTTTAATCCGTACTGAAGTGTTCAGTACTTGATTCTCTGCAGCAAGCACTTCAGGTCCTCCTCACTTTCAGCAAGCAAGGCTGTGTCATCTGCA